TTTCCCTTCCTGTGCACATTTTATGCATCATGGCTTTGGCATGTTGTTAATCTAAGTCGACCGACTTTGCTCTACTGTGCATTTTTACATGTCTTTATGCAAACATTATACACATTTCGGAGTACCCAAAAGCCTTTTCGGTCTTAGCTTTGATGATATGGTCTTCTCGAACCCAAACCCTACCTTTTTTCAATTAGGTGTATTCATTCTTGTAAGAGCATTGAGACTTTGTAGAATGCTCCTAACAAAGTATTATTGTTATCATTATTTAATAGTATTATTATTGCCACATAACTGTCCCAAATTTGTGTGCAACTCTGTCTTGTGACCTAACTCTTGTTAAGTCAAGGGAAGTTAACAGTCAGGCTACTAAATCCTCTTTAGAAACAAAATTATGGATCCACTCTTGTGATCTCAGAATCTAAAATTCAGAAAGTCCACATTGTTTGGTATATTACTTTGCATTAACTAAGCATACAATTCAGCATAATCAAAGAAAGTGTTTGTGGGGGAGTGGGGTTTGTCAGGGTTGACAGGTACATCAAACTCTAGCATAAACATATAATGGCTTTGAAGAACTGTGTGATACACACTAATACAGTCTAGCTTTACATTGCATATGATTTCTTTGCAAAAACATTGGTCCAGATTATGAATTGAGACTAAAATTTTAATGGATTGGCGGATCCTGCAAATGCAGGGGATGGCGGATTTATCAATTTTTTTGGTTTAGATTTCAGTTTTTGTTTGTTATACTAATTATTAAGAGTTTGGAAAATGGAATCTAAACCACAAAATTGTTAAAAAAAAATGACATACCAGCTAAATGTCAAATTAATTGTAGATTTGGATTTGAGGACTTTTTTGGTGTATCGACAGATACAGGCATCATTATTTTAATGGATTGATTGATTTGCATACCCATATTCAACCCACTTGTGAATATTATACTTGCGTCAAGAACAAGAATGAAAATACTGCTTTTCATGGTTAGTGAAAATCATTTCAAGGTCCATTGACTTTAATTTAAACACAAGACTAAGATATGATAATTATATGTAACATAGCATTTCTTGAATTCTTTTTCAATGATCACTAGATAAAATTAAATAGAAGCCACATCCAGGAAAATTCATTCAAGAGCATTAGAGTAAGAGCGATGCTGGTTTAATATCGATTTCTTGAATGCTTAAAAGAAATTTAAAAAGTTATTCAGATGCCAAACATAATGTAGTAAATTTTAATTTCAATACCTAGCCTAATGACGTTGCCTTGTCACGCATAAAAGTAAGCTTCGAATTCAAATAGTTTTGAGAATTCGACAAGTCGAGTTTTTTTTTAGCTTTAAAGGCAAGTTTAAGGGGTAAAAGTTTTTGCTATTGGCTTCGTTCGAAGTATTATACTATAGTAAAGAACGAACTTATTCAAGGCGGGATAAAATGAAATAGTTTACTAGTAGATAAAATTGGTTTGTCTTTGTTTTGGTTAGATGCGAAGTAGTTTCAGAACCTACAGGATGTACTTGGCAAGAAGGGATAAAGAATTAACAGAAAAAAATAATTTTTGGAATAAGACTAGGGATAACATGCTTAACAGTGTGAAATAGGGTCAATCGAAAACAAGCTTTTGTCGGCATATAAACGGACTAGCTTATAAGGGATACTGAAAGTCCTCAGAATAATATATTAAATGTATCAAAGTTTAACTGTTGAGCTAAGGAAAGATCGTTTAATAAAACTAAATCTTCGTATATTTTTACCTGGATGAGATGTGAAGAGGTGTGTTACTTTCGTCTCTTGATCTTATATTAACCTGGGCCCCGTGATCTAGCAACTTTGCAACAGCTTCGCATCTGTTGTATCTTACAGCATGATGAAGCCCAGAGAGACCCGTATCGTCAAGATCATTCAGATTTTTAGCCTTTTTCGCTCTAGCGATGACTTGGTCGACTACATCTAGAGTTCCTTCTCGAACTGCTTCGTGTACATCGGAGATGGCCGTCCTATAATGACTTGTTAACTCGTTCATCTCCAGTGATGCAGCTTTTTTCACTACAACACTCCAAGTTTTCGATTTCTTCTTTTTCTTTTCTTGCCCTGCTCCAGCCAAATCGATCCCTTCGTTAAGCGAATTGTTCGACGCGATGAAGGCCTCGTTCTTCATACTGATATAATTCCATCGCTGACTTTATATAAATGCATTACTGTATATTATGTATGCTCGACTTCACCGGCTCTGTTTTTGTTTGTTAGCTTTTGATGTCAATGTGTGACGTCATGGCCAGTGTGCACTTGACCAAAAAGATGAATGAAAATGGATAAAAATTGGAAATGACTTTAAACTTAGTTAAAAGTATTTGTATGGCTTTAATAGTATCCAAGCAACATTTTTTCTTCACAGTAAAATGTGTCGGATAAAAATTATCAATTTTATATAGCATATAAATTGTGAGTAAATGACGTCATTTACTCAACCCTTCATAATTGAGTCAAATAGACCTTTCCCGAATTCGCTTGGATGAGCACGGTACAATGGTTTGAAGCCGAGACTGAACTTGTTTCTTTTATTCATCAAGTCCAACCTCGATTTGAAACCTTTGTTTTGTGGTCAGACGAGCGAATTCGGGAAAGGTCTATTAAAGGTATTTTCAAGTACACGAGTGCTAATCAAGCACAATGTCACAAGAGGACGACAGAGTAGTATAGGGGATGGGGGTTCCAGCGCAACGACCAC